ATCGAATTTTAAAGTATTCCTCGGCAAAGTAAACCTGTTGAAACTATCTATCAAAGGTGTTCCATAATGAGTTGTGGAGAAGTGTTTCCTTCAATTCTAATTTCAATTAAGGATGTCAATGACAAAAAAGTGCAAGAGGCTAGAAGGTTTGTAATGGAAGAAAATAACAAGAGTCATGGACATCGTTTCGTTTACAAACTGTATCATGTGTCTTATTCATGGTTACTTAAATCTCGTTGAATTAGTGCGCCTTTCACATCAGAGACATTTCTGCCTTAAACCGAGCTCTTTGCAATAGTGAACTTATTAAAAACTCTTTGCTTGCTGCAACATTTGCTTGACACAATTGAACCAAAGGAGGGTATGGACGACCATAGCTCACACTGTATTGGTCTCCAATCATGAAGTGTGACGTCGGATCTTTGTGCATACCATATTCATTAACTATAACATTGCAAGAAATTTTTTTTGTTTTGACTGGGCATGCCATATTCTGTTGTTCTTATATATCTTCAGTTAAATGTGATTAAAGTAAAGAAGTATAGACATGGTTTCCAACCAACCCTTCCTTTATAGTTAGTTCGACGAATGGGTTTTTGTTATCATTTTATCGTTAACCCTACCGCTCGATTTTGTGTTATGATATCATACAGGGAATGAGAAGCGACCTTACTTGGACAAAATTATATACCGTTTGATAATTATTGTTGATAACAAAGATAAATTGAATTATAAGCATTTTAAGTTCAAAAGTAACAAATTACTTGTACACTTTTACTTATAATCTTCATATTCTTTATATAGCGATAAGTAAGGGAGGGATAGAAAAGATACTCATAATATCATTATGACTATGTCATATTTCATTAATAAAAGAGAGTAATAGATCCACAAACACACCCACATATATTTCGAGAGAGAGAGAGCTTATTATAAGTAGAGATAGCATTTTAGTAGTCGTATTGCTACTTGGGGACAAGGAACTCGAGAACTTCTTTAAAAGATGAGAGCTTATGAATAGGTGGCGATGGATATATCACATGCACAAAAAGAAAGTTCTGCACCTTTATAATAAAAGACCAAGGAATATCATCGTTATTTATAACTTCTATCACAATAATATAAATTCTGCGAGGACGACATTCTCTAGCCATACCAACCAGACCGTTCACCACACGCTTGTTGATGAAACGATGTCCACTATTCTCGTTATTCTTTTCAACTACGAACCTTCCTGCATTATGCACTACTAGGATATTGACATCCTTAATTGGTATTAAAGCATCTAAAGGCAACCCTTCCACAAGGCTCATTCTAACACCTTTAGTAAATAGTTCCAAGAGACATTGTTAGGCCGATTTTGTTCATGAATACTGAAGAATTTGATATTTGTAGTTGTAGTTGAACGCTACTTAAATTGATGAAGTGAAATCTTACAATAAAGTCTAATAAAGCGTTTGTCTATTAGAATAGGTTGGAATTAAATTGTTTATAGTTCGAGATAATAGTTGTATTCTTTAAGTCATCGAGACTAGTGTTACTAGTACTTGTTAGTATATTTGAGTATAAATATTAAAATGATTAGTTATTAAATATTGTTTGAATTAAAGCTTTTATAATCAAATGATCTTCATAACCTAATTCATAAAAAAATAAATAAAATAATTAGGAAGCATTTATGTGCTAGATCAGAATAAGATGCATAAAAAGAACTTGCAGTAATTACTTTATTCATCGACCTTTAATCTTAAAAGTAACTTAAAATATTGCAATATTGTGATTCAATCGCCTATTATGAAATTAGGGCCAAAATAAAAAATTAATATTTTTAAAAGATGGAAAAATTCATAAGCCAACCAAAATATGTATTCAAAGATGAAGAATTTACAACAACAATCTCAAATAATATTAATTAGCATCTTGTCTTTTGGTTTGTCACATTTTCAACATGAACAAACCTCAATTTCGAGTCGGTGAGTATTATGGATCATAATCGACAGTACTTTGCAAGTAGCTTTGAGCATTCACAAAAGGTCGAAAGTTGAATTTCTTTAGAATGGTAACCAAATAACCGATGATTATTGTTGAATTTCCAAAAAATACACCACAAATTTCATTTATAGATATAAATGGGACCATTGATATAAAACCCTGATTATACAATTGCATCTTCACTAACAAACCCACCTCGGAGTGATCATCTTCACCCGAGGCTGCAAATTAAGAAACCTTCCAGGATTACTCAAGAGTGAACTTTTAAGACAAATGAAGCTATATTTGAGCAAGAAAAATCATGTTACATGTGTCTGGGATACCACGGAGACACCATTGCAAGCAATCACCTTCACCTGAAGATTCTTTGATATTGTAGTTCGATTTATGAGACTCATCCCTCAGATGTGAAAGAGTAGTTATATCCAACACTCAGATGTGAAAAAGTAGTTATATCCAACATTCTTACTTGTGTGCTTCTTACAGTACTCTCAACAAAGAGTAGTTATATCCAACACTCAGATGTGAAAGAGTAGTTATATCCAACATTCTTACTTGTGTGCCTCTTACAGTACTCTCAACAAATGAATCACTTGATCTATTCTACTCTACTTTACTTCCTCTTGATAACGGTGTGGTATTGACACAACTCATATTGCTGATAATCAGCACTTACATCCAAAACTAGAGTATAGCGGTCGACTATCGTCAAGGACCCATTCACCATTTCCATTCCTACCGACGGAAAAGTTTTATTACATTCATTTCTTTCTCCTTTCTAACTTCTTCATTCTCACATTAAACTTTTTTTTATTTAAAAAAAAAATTAAAGGTGAAAAGGGAGAAAGAAGGAAGAAGAAAAAAGAAAACCCTTAATTTTAAAGGCTTATCAAATACTATTTGACCAATGTAAAGAAAGCTTGAGAATAATTTATTCTCATGTCCCTCTTTGACACTTGTTGGATATATATCCGTCCTTCACATGTCATATCATAATCATATCATATCGTAAAAACTTCGTGGTTATATCCTTCCCTAATTTATCATAGCCTTAACATCCTTAGACATATCATAGTTGTGTCGTTACCTGAACGTACCTTAGTCATAATGTTACAGGAACGTATCCTAACGCTATCGTTTTATCAATCTATCATAATCCTATCACTTTCTACCCATAACCTAATCGTATTGTTTTATGAATCCATCGTGACCATATCGTTTTTATCAATTTGTCATACCCATATCACTTCGATACGTAACCAAACCATAACATTTCATGAACATGTCTTACTCGTATCGTTACATTACGTTTAGTGCATCCTTCTCGTATCCTATCTCAAATATACCATTGAACACATGGTACCGTACGTACTATAATACAATTCACATATTATAACATATCATAAGCATATCGATTCACAAACATTTCACACATATCAATATATATGAAACTTGTAGAACCACGGGCACAGTCAGCATCAATTATAACCATACGGATGGTAAGGCCACCTACCTGATTAGCTTAGGCTGGTGTCCCTAATTTATCCTTAAGAAAGTTCGATTTGTCCTTTGTATTAAAGTCAACCTATATGAACATGACATCAATTTCAATCATTTCTCTAAATTTTATGATGCTCTAGTGTTAGATTTCATGGAAATATTGCATGAGCAAAGTCTTGAAATGTCTATATATCAAAACTGTTTTAACACTTTCCAAATTTTGATTTTTGGCTGTTTTTGTTTTTGTTTTTTTTTTTACTTGTGTTCCTAATCTTACTTCGGTGTGTTTGTTACATTTTTATTTTATTTTTTTAATTATGTTAGCAATTAGTCAATTTAATGAATTCATGCTTTATGTTTATTTATTTATTTTTTAATTATGTTAGTCATTACTTTTGGCTATTCATGGACTTTCTAAATTAAAGATTTTATTTCTCTTTGATCAAAACCATCCTTAAAGCACAAAATTGAAGTTGTAGTTAGTCAATTATAATATTTGACATGCTAGTTTTCAAACTACTTTAAATGGGTGTAAAGAAAGCATGAGAATAACAGTGTCACTAATCTGACACGTGTTGAGCATATACTGAACACTTGTTAATACAATGGATACATTACAAATTTATAATTCATCGTATCAGAAACTTTTCTTTGAATATATTTTGAGAGTGAAAATTACATTAAGCTTTTTTTTTTAAGTATACAAATATATAAACTTATTTATATGAATTTATGTCTAATATAAAATTGATAAATTTTTTGAAATAATTCTTTTTAATTAATGTATCATTATCACATCGGTGTCCTAGTTTTTTAAGAATGACATGTTACTATTAAGAACAGAAAAAGAAAACGGAAAGATCAGAAGAATTGGGAGAAATCTCTCATCCAATTGAAGAATGACTAAATCAAATCTAATTCAAATAACTAGATCAAATCTAATCCAAATAACTCAATCAAATCTAATCCTAACAACCCCTCCCTTAAACTGAACACGAATAGTAATCAGTTTATATCTACGACCTCATACCAAACTTCCACCGGATAACTTCATCAATTCTCATGTGCCATTTCTGTTTATTGCTCCAGATCCATAGCTTGCCTCCATTTCTCACTCTTCAATGCTTCTTTAAAGTTTACAAAGTTTGCAGGTTCAGTAGGGGTAAACATGGCTGAGCTTCATCGTCTTCTTACCAAAAAAAAATTTCTCCTATTGCATAGTCTCTCATCCAGACTGCTTCATGAACATCTTCACAAAAATCTTCTCCTATTGCATAGTCTCTCATCCTGACTGGTGGTCTCTTATTTCTCGACTTATTCGAGCTAGGAGAGCTTGCTTCAGCCAAAGAGCCAGATGAAATATTTTACTCTGCAGTATTTTCATATGCCGCTTCTATATCATTATTTTCATCTGCCGCTTCTATATCATAGAGTCCGTAAGCTTTTGACTCTTCACTAACTCCCAGCACAACATAACTCAAACTCTTATCATCTAGCTTAGTTCTCTGAGATGCCTCCTCTTTTTGTCTCTGAATCAACTCGAGCTCACAATATTGTTTTTCTTCCTTCCGCTGCAGCTCCAGAACTAATCGTCGTTGTGCTTTTTCTACCATTCTTCTATTCTCTTCCAGCATTTTATCTAGCTCTTCTCTCTCTTTTCGTGCTTGTTCTTCTTTTTGTCTTGTAGCAGTTAAAGCGGCTTCTTTCTCTTTGTCAAGCTGCACATCAATATCATCAAACAACTTTGTGCGACCTTCCTCTATTCTCCTCTGTATTTCTAATTTAGTCGCTTCAGAGTTTAGCCTTTCTTCAACCTTCTTCTGAATTAGTTTTTCCATCCTCCTAGCTGCATCTTCTTCTGAATTAGTTCTTCCATCGTCCTAGCTACATCTTCTTCTAACTTCTTCAACTCTACTTCACGCCTTTTCTTCTCTTCTTCTTCTTTCTTAAGCTTCTCTATGGAATGATTCCGATCAGTGGATGCACAACTAGGACTGGAACTGAACGATATGGGGAAAGGAGATAACGAGGAAGACCTACTTCTACGTTGGCGGCTGAGGGAACTTGAACGGCTGCTTCTCCTAGAATGGGTAGTGGAATGATAGGGGGAAGGACTTGGGTCCCTTCTGCTTCTCTGACTATGGCGATAGGAATTGGAGTGGTGAGTGTATGACAGAGACCTTGAACCACTTCTTCCCATAAGTTTCAATTGAGTTTGAGTGTCTGCTACAGGCTGAGATATAGCATGCAATACGAACATTCGATTCAAAGACATCTTTGTCTCTATGATTAAGCCTCTCTCAGGATGAAACACCTTGTATGTTCCATTTTGAAACAAAAAGGTAACCCCATTTGCTTGCAATTTACCACTACTCAACAAATTGTTCCTCAGGTCTGGCGCATAGAACACTCCTGTGATTATCATTATGATTCCGTTCACTTCCAGCCGTACATTACCCTTTCTGGTTACAACCATGCTTGACATTCCCATTGAAAATGTTCTAGCTTGTGACAGTTATAGCACTCCACTATGGCATTGTTGAAGGTTTGTTTGCCTCGTCCCCTTCCTCTACCTCTAAAGCTTCCACGACCTTGACTCCTTCCTCCAGCAGACTGCACAAGTGGACTCTCCATCGACATACTTTTATTATGACACACTTAGAAGACTGCTGCTTCTAGTTTTAACTAGTTTAGGGCATGGCTCTGATACCAAATTGTTAGGAACAGAAAAAGAAAATTGGAAAGATCAGAAGAATTGGGAGAAATCTCTCATCCAATTGAAGAATGATTAAATCAAATCTAATTCAAATAACTAGATCAAATCTAATCCAAATAACTCAATCAAATCTAATCCTAACATTTACCATATCTATTTGGTATCATATTTATGTCTCGTATCTTTATCTCATTTTTATCTTTGTGACTCTGAGATATTTTGCTTTTATAAATAGATATCTTCACGAAAATAAGTTTAATTTATGTTGAGATGGAGAACAAAAATTGACACTTAAAGGACGTTGATACTTGGGACTGAGAAAATAATCAAATAACGAACCATATTTGAGAGAGGATAACTTTTTTTTTTTTTAATCTTTGGGAAACAAGAAAGAATAAAAATTAAAACATGGCATGAATGACATCTTCTTGAATCTTTGTTTTGTTCTCCTAGATGTATATAAAAAAAATCTTATATATTTTTAGATATAATTTAAGATTACCTATTTAATAAAACTCCATCCAAACTTCTACTCATAAATTTAATTATTATTTGTATACAATTGTTAATATGTAAGAAAATACACGTACAAAATGTTTATACTATTGGTAGTACACTAGTCTCGGTTGTTTGACTAAAACAATGCAACCATTGTCCAAACTAAAGAATTTGATTCGAAGCTATCTCCTAATAGAGGGAGGCTCAATTAGACTTTGTTGTAAGATTCGACCCTATCAATTTGAATAGCGTTCTCCAACTATAAATATTGAACTCTAAAGTATTCACGAGCAAAGTAAGTTTGTTGAAACTATCTATAAAAGTGTTCCAAAGTGAGTCGTGGAGAAGATTTGCCTTAAAATCTAGTTCCAATTAAGGATGTCAATGATGAAGAGAGGTTTGCCGTGGAAACTTTCAGAGGTGGTAGATATAATTTAATCTACAAGCATGTGGAGAATGGTCTTTTCAGTCCCATATAAGCTTTGACCCCAAATTTTATATTATTGTGATAGAAGCTATAAATGACAACAATATTCATTGGTCAAATATTGCAATTGTGAAGAAGTTCCGTCATATGCATGGGACGCTACCGCCATCCTATAAGCTCTTATCTTTTGAGGAATTCATCAAATTCCCTCTCCGTAGTATAAGCAAATTCTTCCCTCTCCACAAGTAGT